ACAGAGATATGTCTAGCCTTTAGGCAATTTTAAAAGAACATGTATAAAGCAATTGTTGAAATTTAAGGATTCCAATTTAACAACAATTTATCTTATATCAATTAGCAAATTGGTGACTTTTGTCTATATGAATAAGGATCGCGAATAATTAAATGCTAAACAACAGTCACTTAAATACTAATTTAAAACAGCATCAAGAAATCTAAATATTAATTAGTTCTAATAAATAAATAAATATAGAAACATGCATCAGAGTGGTTTTTTTTAATATACCTTTAACTGTTTAAGGTCAAGTTACAGTAAATGGACTATGTCACAGATTTGGCTAAAATTTTGCATACAACTCTGGACCGTTGAAATATAACTGCATGAATATTGAGAAAATATTGCATTTATCTCTTTAATCATCTGAAATATAACTGATTGAATTGTTTCAAAATAGGTGAACATTTATATATATATATAGAAAACACAAAAAATCGGTGAAAAACCATCTTAAATATGTTAAATTTGTCATAATTAAAATCATCAAATCTCTAATTTTTAATACATAGATTTTTCTTAAAAAAACTCTATGTTGTTGATACATAAATTTCCGTTTTAATGATGTAAAATAATGATAGGGTCACCGAATTTGTTTTTGTGGTATACATCATTCAAAGTGGTGTTAAATGTGAAAAAATACTACAAAACGTCGAAATAAATGTAACGTCATCGTGTTGTAGGCCGTACAACATTAATTTTGGACGTTTTTCACTACCAACTAGGTAACAGATTAACCATTAGACAAAAAACGAAGTCTGTGACCATATGATTATTTTACATCATTAAAGCGGAAATTTATGTATCAACAACATATAGTTTTTAAAAAAAATCTATGTATTAGAAATTAGAGATTTAATGATTTTAAGACAAATTTGAAGGTTTTTCACTGATTTTATGTGCTTTCTATACAAATGTTCACCTATTTGGAAAGAATTCAATCAGTAATATTTCAGATAATAAAAGAGATATATATATGCATAATTTTTTGCTTTTCACTTATAGTTCAACGAGCCAAGGTTGTATGCAAAATTTTAGCAAAATCTGTGACATGTACATGTAGCCCATTTACTGTTCCTTGACCTTAAAATAAAAATTTGATCAAGAAAATGGGGAATGTTGAGTTTTTTTCATTATCAAGGAAATTATTATGTAGTTTTATAAATGAATGAATACAGACTTATGCAGTGCCAGCATGGTTGATATATCTTCTCCTCAAACTAAATTGTAATGTAACATAATCTTTATCTATTTCAGACTCAAAAGTAGATATAAGAAGATGTGGTATGAGTGCCAATGAGACAACTCTCCATCCAAGTCACAATTTGTAAAAGTAAACCATTATCTAGGTCAAAGTACGGCCTTCAACACGGAGCCTTGGCTCACACCAAACCATACCTGCCAACCTCTGAAACCTTCAAAGAGGGACATCTCCCCCTCAGCTATGACAGCTGAGGGGGAGATTGTGTGCGAACAACATTTTCAAGTTAAATATATGACCTGTTTACGTATTCATCTACAAAACACCAATAAAACCTAGTAAATATGCTCTATTTCTTCAATTCATGGTTATAATCTATACAAGGTGGGGTTTTTTTTAGCCTTTTTCAATACCTCAGTCTCATAACTCATAGCATTTCATATTTTGATTTTGTTGTGAGTCTCACACTAAGCATGCATTCAAACTTTGTACAGACCACCAGAAATTGAAAAGTTGATTGAACATGATGTGCAAAAAAATTCATTTCCAAGTGAACTTGGTAGTAAAAATTGAAAATCTTTCATTCAAATCTGCTTGACATTTCGATTTGCAGTTATCTATTTCTTCTTTTTTACACTGCCGCTTGGTCCAGACAAAGACCTCTATCTTGCTGGAGTTGACATACCAGAACTGAATTTCGATTACTTATATATTTAACATAAAAACTTCTGACCAAAATTTTCAAATGATTGCAGATTGTTTATTTACTTCTATTGAAAGTAATGAAAAAGCCAGAGAATTACAAACGCGTGTTATTCCAGATCAAAATATCCCAAAGTGGGAGATTCTATACTCCCGCGAGGGAGCGGTCCAGCAAGCGGGAGATTTCCGGAATTTTGTCGTTTGCACGGGAGACCCCCGCTCAAAACAGGAGGGTTGGCAGGTATGCACCAAACAGCAAGCTATAAAGGGCCCCAAAAATGACACTTATGAACCACATTATTACAAACGACAACCACTGAACATCAGGTTCCTGACTTAGGACAGGTGCAAACAAATGCAGCAGTTTTAAATGTTTTAATAGGCGCCAACCTTCATCCTACCTGAAACAATAGTGTAACATCAAAACATAGAAAGACACACTATAAAATATCAATTGAAATGGCTTAACTCAATCAAAAGACATATTAACAATCAAAGTGCTTGTTAGCACTGAAGGGTAAAGATTGCTTTAATTTTTCAGTGGGAAGTAACTGCATTGTAAAAACATTGGTTGTAGATGATTCAACTACAATTCTATATGGACAAAGGAAGATAACTCCATTTTTACAATGACATCATTGATATTTTTAGAACAGATATTAGACAGTCAAGGGTGTAACTTGAATAAGTTATTAGAGAAAAATATCATACATGTGCTATTACGGATACTTTCTCTTAATCTGTAGTAACATATATGTTTGTTATCAATTAAATGTACCATAAAAAATTTTATTTTCAGTAGGCACTTGGGAAATTATTGAAACTTGCGCAGTAACTTAATACATAACCTTGAAAACTATTTTTCCACTTCAATTAATACATTTTTGATCAACCATGGTAAATCAATGAGACAAGGCTTTAAAGTGATAACTTAACTGTAATAACAAGGCCTAGTTATTACAGGCATTTAACTTATTACAATGAGACACTTGGGAATGACTAGGAAGCTTGCGCAGAACCACATTACATGCTTTAATCATTATTTATTACAATAAATTTAAATACATTGTGATATATGTATGAGAAAAGGCTTTGAAGAGATGTAGAGAAGCTGTAATAACACCCCTTAGTTATTACAGGCATATTTTTTATGTAATAACATGGGTGTGTTATGAATAATTGGCAAACTATGGGCTGTTATATCTTTCTAAAATTTAATATACATAAAGACAATTAAAATATCAATAGAACTAGTACACAATTTAACAAAATAAAGGATGTATAATGCCCCTTTGAAACATGTAACACACATATATGTTATCACAGATTTTTGATTTTTCAGCCCTCAATAACAAATGTATGTTATTTTTCTCTAATAACTTATTTAAGTTAGACCCTTGACTGTTACTGTTAGATTACTGCACCTTGCACAAGTTATGTAATTTTCTTGACAAGTATAACATCATTTTGTAACTTGAATATCTGAGCATATATTTCATTGATAAATTTCTGGAAATGTTCATGGATAGGATGTTTAAAATGTTATGATCAATGCACTTTATTTTGTGTATTTCAAAAGTAGTGATAAACCTTGGAAGATTTAGAAATCAAGTCAGTACCATGCAATCTTTATCCAAAAACAAGTGAGCATACACTGAACGAATAAATTTGATCTATGACACAATGTAAATACAAAATTAATAAAACAAGGGGGTTAGATGTTTAACAATATCAGAAAGACAACCATAAACTTGGACAAAATGCCGCCAAATAAAATAACATACACAGGTAAATAAAAATAATTTTGTTGAAAAGTATACATGGAGTACGGAAATAATTTTTACAAAATAAATAATTTTGTTGTTCCTAGTACGAGAACAAAAGTGAAAATTTATCGTCATACTAAACACTAATCAAAGGTGGTAAAAGTCCATATTTATATATACATGAAACAAAATATACTGACTTAACAAGATAAAATGCTAAAAATCAAGTATACTTATAGATTATCGTTGGTCATGTTAATCATCTCAACGAGAATGATTTTCTCGGTTATTTCTAGTTCATCCTGCATAATGACGATCACTATGACACTTGATGAACTTTAGTAGTGCAGGGATACAGGCGATCCCCTATACATGTATCTGGTAAATGACATCATAAAAGCGCGCAAAATTGAAGAAATTTTCCGGTGAAGGACATAACTCGATAGTGGTCTATTGAGGTATGCATGATCCACCAATTAATGGTTATTTCCTAACCTGTTTACTCCGCAATATTAAACCCCATTAGTTAAGGTTCATCATAACAAATGGACAAATATGGCCGTATTTTCACATCAAAAACTACTCTGTGTACAGACTTACCTGTGCAGTTTGGAAAGTTTTAAGGTCTGGCATCCACTAGATATATAAAAGTTAAATGCATTTTGTGTTTCAGAAAGATAAAATCGTTTTTGGATTTTGATGGGCATTTTTTTTCCTTCCTGCAGAAGGTGTAAAAATAAACAAACACCTGAATTGCATTTGATACTGTCCACTCAGTTACTACCTTTAACTCACCTATAGATGTGTAGATATCTATTGTCCATGCCAATCAAGTACAATCAATACAATACAAACCAGTTGTTACCTGAGAGGGAGCATCTCAAAGTTGTATCCCAACTTAGTTTATTTTTACACCTTCTGCAGGAATGAAAAAAAATGCCCATTAAAATCCAAAACAGATTTTACCTTTCTGATATACAAAATACATTTAACTTTTATATATCTAGTGGATGCCAGGCCTTAAAACTTTCCAAACTGCTCAGGTAAGTCTGTACACAGAGTAGTTTTTGAGGTGAAAATACGGCCATATTTGTCCATTTGTTATGATGAACCTTAATGGGGCGAATTAAATTGGCAAGCATATATTCAGCGGGATTAAACTCCTTTTCATTTGATGCGTGAGTTTGTAGAAAGTGGGGCAAGTTGGAAGAAAGTTGGGGCGATTTTGCAGTGGCGCGATTTGTATTGCTTCACTAACAAGATAGTATTTTTAGACTAACTATACTGACTTCTAACTCCCACTCTCTATCTTGAAGGTAAAACATGGCCAAAGCAGAATCGGTGCCTGTTATTTCTGCAAACTTTTGACATCTGTTTTCACATTCTTCTCTGCTTGGTATTTTAGATTCATCAACTGAATCAGAATCACTCATTTCTAAGGTTTGTGATTTTTTTCTAATTATTTCCGATTTCCCGCAGTTTTTGGTTTTTTTTTGGATTACCTCCCCTAATCAAAATAGTATGAAACCAACCCTGGACCGCCCTAGTAAATATCTCGGAAAAAAGTCAATATTGAGCACACCTCAAGTTCTATTTCTTGTACCATTTCAGTTCAGAACCCTTGATTTTTCAACGTGGCAATCATAGCATTTAAATACCATATTCCTCAGCAGAGACTAAATTATTCATACATATAAATATAACAAAATTTCTTTTTAATCATGGATGGGATATACATGTATACATATAACTGGTCTGAGTGGACTTCTGATAATGATATATTTGTGAGTTATCAATGTATATATATTGTATTTTGTGAAATTTTGGTATTAATACTGTAATTTTGGATTTGAAACCATGCATTAAAATATCGTTATATCTTACCTTTATTTTTATCTTTTACCGTAGTGATTTGGAGCGGATATGTGTTATAGTGAAATAAGTAAATTCAGTTTGGAGCAGGGACTTTCTAGTATAGACTGTCCCTTTTTGGAGTGAGGTCCAAAACAGATTGACCTTGGATATTTTAGTACAGTGTTGAACCATGAAATTGAGGCCAAGGTCAGACAACACCTGCCAGTTGGACATGTACACCTTACAATCATTACATACACCAAATATACTAGACCTATTACTTATAGTATCTGATATAATACTATAAGTAATAGGTCTTGGCGGACTTGACCACATAAACTTTTCGCCGCCGAACACCTGCGCACACCACCGAACACCGCCGAACACCCCAAAAGTGAATTAAAACTATGAAAAAATCAATAATGTGTTCGGTGTGCGGTGGTGTTCGGCGGTGAAAAGACCTACCGCATAAACTTAACCTTGTTCACTGATCCATGAAATGAGGTTGAGGTCGAGTGAAAACTGTCTGACAGGCACCGAATATAGTTGACCTATTTGTTTATAGTATACAGGAAACAGACCAAACAATAAAACTGTATATTGACCAATGAACCATGAAAATGAGGTCAAGGTCAGATGAACCCGAATATAGTTGACCTATTGCTTATAGTTAGAAAAACAGACCAAAACACAAAAACTTAACTTTAACCACTGAACCATGAAAATGAGGTCAAGGTCAGATGACACCTGCCAGTTGGACATGTACAACTTACAATCACTCAATACACCAAATATAGTAGACCTATTGCTTATAGTATCTGAGATATGGACTTGACCACGAAAACTTAACCTTGTTCACTGACCCATGAAATGAGGTTGAGGTCGAGTGAAAACTGTCTGACAAGCACCGAATATAGTTGACCTATTGCTTATAGTATACAAGAAACAGAACCAAACCATAAAACTGTATATTGACCAATGAACCATGAAAATGAGGTCACGGCCAGATGAACTCGAATATAGTTGACCTATTGCTTATAGTTAGAAAAGCAGACCAAAACACAAAAACTTAACTTTAACCACTGAACCATGAAAATGAGGTCAAGGTCAGATGACACATGCCAGTTGGACATGTACAACTTACAATCATTCCATACACCAAGTATAGTAGACCTATTGCTTATAGTATCTGAGATATGGACTTGACCACGAAAACTTAACCTTGTTCACTAATCCATGAATTGAGGTTGAGGTCGAGTGAAAATTATCTGACAGGCATGAGGACCTTGTGTTGTAAATGTGTGTATTGGTTATTTCCAAGTAAAGAAATATTGTTATTATTGTAATAAGAGAGTTTATATGAGTTGTCAAAAGTTATTTCTAGTATTTCTAGTATATTGAATGAGTAATTAACGTACGTTTTACTTTTATGTTATTAGATGTATCGATTACGTCATATATGGCGCAAATTTGTCATGTAATTTTCAGAACGTTACCGTTGGGTTAATATTGTAATCGTGAACCCAAAAGTGTTCATTTGTGAGCTCTCAACTGGAAGAAATAATATGTCTTGATTGTTTTAGTAACAAAAGTGTATTATTATAAGCATTTTGAGTCGAGGACTTGTATATTTTATGTCAGCGTTTGACGTTATGTTTTTCTTCTTGCTTAGAATATTTACTTCCGGGAATTTCAAATAAATACCAGTGCAACGTCACGTTCGTCAGTCTTTGCTGTGTTTACATTTGGCTTGCAGCAAGGCTCAGCCCGGGGGTTCCTAGAGGTGAGAAGCAGCGCATTTAGCTGTATGCATCGCAGTTTATATTACAAGTAAGGGTCGTAGTTTAGAGGCAAGAAGCAGCGCATTTAGCTGTATGCCTCGCAGTTTATCTTACAAGTATGGGTCGTAGTTTAGAGGTAAGAAGCAGCGCAGATAGCTGTATGCCTTGCATTTATTTATGTTGTCATTGTAGAATTTATTAAGATAATCCCGTTTGGTCCGTACAAAAATACAAGAGAAAGAATGTTATTTTAGAAGCTCCGCCCCGTATGTAAATTATATAATTGTTGCTCGAATATTGTACATGTATGGAAATATATCGGCTGTTCTAGAAGTTTAAATAAAGTATCATTTTCTACTATTGATTATTTATTCACGCTACCAATGATGAGAGAGAACAGACAACAGATTTGACGGCCGTATTTATTTATCCCTTAGTGTAGTCACAAGTTTTGTGAGTTTATTCGTATTTGCTGGCTTTAAAACTATATACAAAAACATAGCAAGAAGCAGAAATTACGACAATGGTGGCAGCGGTTTAGTTCTCGCGTTTCAATAAATAAGGCACGTATATTTTAGAAATACTAATGTGTATGGAACACACTAATGACAAATATTGTGTATGGAGTGCACTTAGCTCTATACATTATACTGTAATAAATAGATTATTTTGGAAAATACAGGAGTGCATTTAGCTTCTAAAAAATTTAAAATATTTATAAAAGGAGGTGCATTTAGCTTCCTAGAAAGCAAAGAATATTTGTAAAGGAGGTGCATTTAGCTTCCTAGAAAGAAAAAAAAATTATAAAGGAGGTGCATTTAGCTTCCTAGAAAGAAAAGAATACTTGTAAAGGAGGTGCATTTAGCTTCCTAGAAAGAAAAGAATACTTGTAAAGGAGGTGCATTTAGCTTCCTAGAAAGAAAAAAAAATAAAGGAGGTGCATTTAGCTTCCAAATAATTATTTATTAGAGAAATAGAGGTGTAGTTAGCTTCTATTGGCATATTATTGGGAACATTGTTTGATTTTAAACATGGATCTTAGAAATAGAAAAATCCCAGCTCCAAATTTTGGAAGGGGGGAAAGTATGAAGAATATAATTATTTCACAGAGCGGAACTGTTGAGCCCTGTAATTTAATAGATTTGGGTATAGAAGATGGTGTTAATTTATCTACCTCCAGCCCCACAGTAAGTCCTATAAACTCGCCTGTGCAGAATACTAGGACGATTGAGGAAAGTACATGTTACTCATGCCACCAAGAGGGACATTACAGCAGAGATTGTCCTTTCTCAAGAGGAAAAAGAGGGAAACTAGAAAATATGAATACTTTCGAAGGGAACCCGCAGTTTGGATTTACAAGTCAGGATTATCAGAAATAGTTGGGCCTATATAGCAGATAAGCCTACTGGCCAAATATCAGAATATTTTTGTGTAGATTCGGATTTTTTATAATGTAGATATGAAACTTGTGTGATTTTTTTGTTATTGATAAAATGTAAAAAGTGATTTAATGGTTTATTGAGAAGACTTGTAATATTTGTTTATCCACTGAGTATACAGTACACTAAGCACAAATATGTATAGATTTTTGCACTTTAAGAAATATATTGTGGTATTGAAATTGTTTTTAAGATTTTAGAAAACAGGTGATTTTTTATCAGAATCTAGAATTTGATGGTCCTATTGGCGTTGTTGTCCTTAATGCAGTAGAATTGTTTAATACTATTTTGGTGGGAAGCTGCTTTTGGTGGGTGTATATTGGCAGTTGGGATACTTATAAGGAGCCATTTTTGTTTTGGCGGAGATTAAGTTAAGGCTAATGATTAGTCTAGATTGCAATATAAATTTTGGTTACACCATGGGTATGCTGAGCTATAGTCTACACCATTTTAGATATTTCTCGGGGAATACTGATGACTATTTTTTATTAGTTGTACTTTTGTACCTATTTTTATACTTATGTTTGTATGGTACATCAGTATCGAAGATTGTGTATAAATTTATACGCGGGGTACCCTTGTGGTATAGAACTTGATAGGACATTTGTTGGCTTATGGTTAGTCTGGTGTTTAGATGAAGTTGAGCTTCATGATGTTTATAATTCCAGCGTCTGATAGAATGGAGAATCTTGGATTAAACTTTAAATGGAGTATACGGTATTAGTGCTGTAACTGGATGCAAAAATAGACTTTTATTTTATATTTTCGATAATGACACAATGAAGAAAAATGTATATTTTGCCTTTTAAGTATTAACAGGCGCATTAGTTTGTTAACACAGACATTAGTTTTTATGACATAAACAGGCGCAGTAGTTTGTTGATGTATGGTTAAGTTTAAGTTTTAAGATAGCTGTAATATTTGCTTGTTTTTGGCAAATTAGAGATTTTTTATTTGTATAATAGAGTATTACGTACATAGCAATATTGTGAAAAGAATTTTTTAAATGTATTATCAGAATTGACAAGACCTTATTTCGAGGACGAAATGTATTCTGGGGGAGGGGCAGTGTTGTAAATGTGTGTATTGGTTATTTCCAAGTAAAGAAATATTGTTATTATTGTAATAAGAGAGTTTATATGAGTTGTCAAAAGTTATTTCTAGTATTTCTAGTATATTGAATGAGTAATTAACGTACGTTTTACTTTTATGTTATTAGATGTATCGATTACGTCATATATGGCGCAAATTTGTCATGTAATTTTCAGAACGTTACCGTTGGGTTAATATTGTAATCGTGAACCCAAAAGTGTTCATTTGTGAGCTCTCAACTGGAAGAAATAATATGTCTTGATTGTTTTAGTAACAAAAGTGTATTATTATAAGCATTTTGAGTCGAGGACTTGTATATTTTA